CGTGGTGCCCGTGAGTGCCCGTGAGTGCCCGTGAGTGCCCGTGAGTGCCCGTGGTGCCCGTGAGTGCCCGTGAGTGCCCGTGAGTGCCCGTGAGTGCCCGTGAGCAGCCCCCAGACCTGTGCAGGCTGGGAAACAGGGAGGTATTCCTGCAAACAGGATTTGTGGCCCTGTGGATGCCGATGCGTGGGGAAGCCTCCACCAGGCCCGGAGGGGCGAGACATTGTTCTCAGGGTCTCTCCCCGCACATGAACCTGTTTCCCTTTGCATCTTCACCTGAGAACATTTGTGCGCGCTCCACTTGGATTTTAAACAAATCCAACGTGTCTGTGCCGCTGTCAGAGCTCCTCCCGCATCTGAGTTGGCAGCCCCCCCCCCTCCCCAAACCCCGGGTGAGGCTTCCAGGCCGCATCTCTAACAGGATGCTCGCTCTTTGCCGCTTACCATGGGACGGGGACGACGTCTTGTCTGGGTGCTGGTTTTGCCCGGCCCTCGGAATGTCTTCCCACAAGACGCCGTCCTCGTCTTCCGCCAGCAAGGGTCCTGACCAGCACCTCCGCAGAGGAGGCAGCACAGGCGGCTGGTGGGGGCGTGTGTGCAGGGCGCGGGGCACACGGTCCTCACGCACCAGGACCCACGCACCAGGGTCCGCTCCCGTGCCTGGTGGAGGCGCGTCTCGTTCTGTCTGTGATCGCGGCCTTTCTCGCCAGAGCTCTACAAACTCTTTTTCTCTCTTTCTCCCTCCATGTCTCTGCCCCCCTCCCCCGCCCCTTTTCAGTTTCTATTTTTGTTCTTATTTTTCTCCTTAGCTTTCATTCTGTGGTCATAGTGCGCCTGGCCCTGACATGGTGAGTATCTCATCGGCTGGCGCCACTGGCGAGGGTCCCGTCCGCCCCCAGGGGCCCGTGGGGCCCCCGCACTCCAGCAGCCCAAGTGCCGTTGGGAGCCCCAGACGTGTCCAAAGGGCTGTTCCAAATCCAGGGCCAGGATTCGGGGTCGGTCAGGGGGCTTGAGGGCACCTGCCTCTCTCGAGGGGGCAGGAACGTGGAGGACCCCCACGAGGCACCGAGCCCACGGCAGAGGCGTGCACGCACTCGGCTTCCCTGCTTATGTGGCCTTGGCGGAGGCAGTGCTGGAGAGCACAGTCCTCTTGCCTTTCTTGTCCTTTTCCGCTGGTGCTGAGGACAAGCTGGGCTGACTCTGAAGAGCCCCCCAGAAATGCCCGGGCTTCTGCAACGCGCGGGTCTCATTCACAGACGTGAGACCAGCCTCCCAGTCGCCGTGTCATTACTGTGACTTTAGACCAGGGCCACATGCTAGTCCTGACCCCTGCTTCCTTCCAACGTAAGAGGAGAGGACCAGCAGCACTGGCCTCACCATCCTGCCCAGCCCATGGCCTGCCCTTCCAAGGGTTTCTGAGGGGCTCCCTGAGGGGCAGCAGCATACTCTCCTGTTCCCCGAGCCCACCCGCACCCTGTCCCTCCAGCCCCATCCTCTCCAGAGAACCCTTTCCGACGTGTGTCCGGCATCTTGTGTCTTCCAGCCCCCAGAGGAGCCAGACCCCTTTCCTCCAGCGGGACCAGAGGCCAGCAGGTGCCTGGGCAGCAAAACAAGATGCCACGTCCCATCCCTGAAGCCCCAAGAGGATCTGGTCTCTGGGGACCCTGTCCCGTTGAGAAAGAGGGAGAAAGGGGGGCTTTGAGCACCTCTGAGTGGGTACCGGTCCGCTCTGCTGATCCAGACTCAGAACTTGTTTCTTGACTGGGGCTCCTCTGGGAGCGGCCTGATCCTGGCTGCTGGACCCTGGGTCCCCCCTCGGGACACAGCCTCCTGATCCCGGTGACAAGGATGCACACGTTCCCTGCTGAGCAGGTGCTGAGAGCTGCTTCTGTGCAGGGCCGCCCACAAGCCGACACCCCCCACACCCGCTCCTCAATCGTGCACAAAGCTCGGACGAACCCATCGGGAAGAACACAGGCAGCCCAGAGTGGACGCAGGGAAGCCTGTGGCCACAGCGGTGACCTCCATCCAGGGAAGCCCAGGTGGGTCACAGGGCACGTTCCAAGGACGGCTTCCCCTGGTCCCGCAGGTGGCCTGTGAAGACCCACTCGCTGGGTCCTGCGCACCTGCTGGCCGGCACGTCCCTGCCTGGTTTGAAGATGCTGTTGCCTCGGGAGCTGGCGTGACTCCTGCACGTACCGTGCCATCACCGGCTGCTAGCCCGCCCTGAGCCGCATGGAGGAACGTGGTAGAACCGACCAGAGACTGAGGAGCATGACGGTGGGAGGTGGGACGAGCGAGCGCCCCAACCCACTGGAGAGGGGCCTGGCTTTCCTGGAATGCAGAGCCCCAGGCCCTGTGGGCCCCGGGCACCTGGCACACTGCCCCCCACAACCACCTGGAGGCCGTGAGCTGTAGACAAGCTGAATGGGGCTCGAGGGCCACGCCCACACGAGGGCAGCCATGCACCTGGAGTCCTGCGGATATGACAAGGGAGCCCGACATCCAGGTGGGGAGCAGGTGAGTGCCCTGGTCCATCTTGGAGACACATTTTCCCTCCCCACTGTTTGGGATCCTTGTCAGTCTGCTGGGACCTGCCCTGCAGCGGGAGCCCTGGGTGACTGTCCAAGCCCACTTCTCACCACCACCCTGGACCAGAATCTGCTCCCTGATCGGGGACGTCCCTCTGTGGGCTCCTTAGGGGCCCTCAGGGGCTGAACCTCTGTGGGCTCCTTGCCCAGATCCAGGACACTTCCCCCAGACCTCTGAGCGTCCCTGAGTTTCAAGGTTCAAGGGTGGCCTCATCTCCCAGCAGGGAAGAACTGTCCCAATGAGCTCCAGCCCCTGTGGGGTCTGCTGGCCAGCCCTGCCCACCCTGAGCCCCCAAAACTCCAGGAAAGGGACGTCTCCTTCTCCTGAGCTGTGGCCCCCAGGCCCCCTCTCCTTCAGGCACAGTCAGGAGTTTGGCCTCCCTGCCCCTCACTCCTCTCCCTGCCTGTCTCCCACCCTGCCCCCCAGGCTAGAAGGCCACGGGAGGGTTGGGCCCAGGAGGGGTGCTCCAGGGCTGAGGCCTCTGTTTCCAGCAGAGTCTCCTGAGTGAGGTGTTGCTGGAGGCCAAACCGTCCACGTGTCCTTGACTGCATGTCGGCCGTGGTGGCCCCACACGGGGCTGCGGATGCCCCGGAGCTGTGAGCAGGTCCTTCCTGCAGGGGGATCTAGAACCAGGAGAGCAGAGACTCTGGGAGCAGGTGCTGGGCAGATGCAGCGGCCCCAGGGAACAGGGCCTTCAGGCTGGCCCTTGGTGGCCTCAGGGCCTAGATGGGGCTCCCAGGGAGCACACACTGGGGCGCCCTTCCTTCGGGGCTGGTGGGGTGCAGCGGCAGCAGCAGGAACACTGCAGGGCTGTCCCCTCGTAGATGTCAGAAACCCCTAATGGTGTGCAGGCCCGGAGGGAAGCACGCCTCCCCTCTGCCCAGCTGCCCGGGCTTCAGGGGGAGCATTCTTGAACAATCACCAAGGTAGAGACAAATGTCTGAGGCGGGGCACCAGTCTGGCCTGACGCAGCATCGGAGACAGGGGCTCCGACCGCCTGCCAGGCCGTGCGCGGGACCCTGGGCCCAGCTCTTCCTCTGACAGCCGGGGGCAGCCCCAGGGCCACGGCCGAGAGCAAGCACGTCCATACATTGTAGCACGGGTGACGCTACGCTTGATCTCTGGGTGACGGCAGCGCCTGCCGGGCTCTGCCACCGCGGTGTCCCAGCTGGTGACCACATGGGGAGAGACCCCGGAGGCCGCAGACGTCCTGTTTCTCCACAGGCTTTTGGGCACTGAGCTTGGCACCCCTCAGCAGCCTTTGTGCGGCCGTGGTGGCCGCCAGGCCCTCACGGGTTTCCTGGGCCCCCGTCGCTGCTGTGTTCTTCCATCCTCTGAAGAAAACCCGTCCCTGTCCTATCGTTCGTTTCTTTGGTTATTCATGCCATTGTGGACTTGGGCACATTTAGTTTATTCTGCGGGCTACAGCCCGACGCCGTCACTAGTTACCTTCCTGGCCTGAGCCATGGAGCACGTGTTCATGGGACTCCTGCGTCCCCTGACGCGCCCTGTCTGTTGAGTGAGCGTGTTCCTAATTTCTGCCACCTCAGGCTGGGCTTGTAGTGTCCTTGTCCCGAGGAGTGTCTTCCTCCTGTTGCAGGATGGTGTTTAGGAACTGACTTCGCTGGGTGCTGGATGTGCCCCTTGCCCTGGGGCAGGGGCTGTGGCACTATCTCTAGGCCGACTTAGGGGAGGAGCATGGACGTCCTCAGGAACACGCACACGCCTATGCATATTTCTGCGTCCATCTGTCGGTCTACCCTCCATCTGTCCATCATCCACCCATTTATCATCCATCTGTCTATCATCTGTCCATACGTGTGTCCATCATCCATCTGTCCATCCATCTATCCATCTGTCCATCACCCATCCATCCATCCATCGTCTGTCTATCTATTTATCCATCTATCAACTATCTATTACTCATCTGTTATAAAACTGTGAGTTCATAACTGATACGTCCAGTTCCAGGCTAACAAGTCCAGATCCAGCCCCCCATCATCTCTGACCCCTTTCTTTGGCTCCCACTGTGCTCAGCCCCAGTGTAATGTGGAACAGCTTCACAGCCGCTGACCGTGGGGACGTCTGCCAGCTCGGGTGACCCTGTTCACAGCCTTTACTCTTCAGCCTGTGGCATCCAGACAGATACTGTTTCCCGACGTGACTTGGCTCAGCTGTCTTCTCCCCCTTCTCTCCCAGTGTGGCTGTGCCGCCCATTTGTCCCCGCTTGTGTTCCCGTCCCCCTTCCCACATGCTGACTTTTGTTTTGTTTACACTCCGTAAAGTTCACTGTCCGGGCCCTGCAGTTCTCTGGGCTTCGGCACATGCGTGTGCCCCGCACAGTGCTGATGCAGGACTGTTCCACCAGCCTCAACTCCGTCTCGTGTCCCCCGCAGTCACCGCTGCAGTCACCCCACCCTCACCCAACCCCTTAGTGTTGGACCTAAGAAAACTTTGCCTCATTCAAATCACTGGTGTTTTCTGCCACGTTTCCTTCTAGAATCGCATGGCTTGATGTCTGGCATTTACATCCAAGACTGGTTCCAAGTCCTTTTTTGCACACGGGGCATGGTATGGGTCAAAGCACGTGTTTCTCCTGCAGTCATCCATCCCTTGCTCCGTCCAGCCCTTCGTGAAGAGCTCTCCACAGATCTGTTTGGCTGGTTCAAGTCCTGTCCTGGCTACAGTGTCCCCCAGCTCTGGGGGACAGAACTGCTGACTGCTAGCCATCTGTCCAGTGTCTGTCCATCATCTAGCCATCCACGCATCCATCCCCCCGCGCTGTGCTGGCCGTGCCTGGTCCCCGCTGGTTCCCAGGGTGGAGGCCAGATCTCCAGGGACCGTGCCTGCCCTGCTCCGGGTCTGCAGGCCGGACGTGTGAGACATTAACTGTCACAGCAGACCCAGATTTATGGCTGCCAGTGAGCAGCTGCTCACTTCCCAAGCCTGGCGTAGATCGCTAACTCTGTGCAGCCTCCCAGGTGGGCCACAAAGGACGGCCGTGTCGTTGTCCTTGAAATGCAGGGAGAAGCCTCGCTCGCTCACAGTCCGTCCACAGTGAACGAGCGTTGTGTGCGTATAGAACAAGAAACTGCATTTTAAAAAAATATCTGTCTATACCTGTAGATTCTCCATGATAACCCAGTGCCATCTTCTTCTTCAGAGTGGCTCATTTACTGGTCCGTCGACAGAGCGAGGGGCAGGACAAGGCTCATCCGAGCGCGAGCAGGCAGCTCT